TGTATCCATCCGTCCGCCCTGCATCCATCCATCCCGTACCCATCCGTGCATCTATCCATCCGAGACACCTTAATCAACCCGTTTAATTGTTTTTTCTCCATTTATCCACTTATTCACCGTGCATCTCATTTTAGGATCCGTTTGTCCTTTATTCGACATTATCACTCTCCGATCCATCTCATCAGCAATGATGCTTTCTTTTAATCACTAATGTGGCCACATAAATTACGAAACCATCAAAGCGGCACACAAAAACGTTGACAAATACTGGTAAAACATTTTCGCCGTCGATTGTTAGCGCATTTTTACCTCCCGCTTAGTAGAGTGAGACTTTTCACCGAGAACAAGGAGACTCTCATCGCGAATGGTGGTTTTACTGACTAGGAGGTACGGCATTAGGAGTCAGGACCGAGTCCGTAGTTAAATGCCAAAGTAGGTTTTAAATAGGGGATAAAAATATTTCTTCCTTGAATCCGGGACAATGCCAACTAAGCATCTTGGCAACAACTATTAACTTATTCTTCTTTTCTTTTTTAACTAAATATGACTTGAAAGCTTAAATTTAGAAAAAATATCAAAATAAGGAGATCTTGATAAACCCCTTTTGTGTCTATGGGGGGTAAACATTTTCTAGGCACAGAGATACCTCTCCCTCTCTATGCTTCATATAAGACGTCCTTTGTTTAACAACTGAGTCAGAGAGGCTAATGAATGATGGAGGCGGGTGGGAAAATGATTCACTCCGTTTCTGTTAGTACTCCTTCTGTCCCCAAGTCAATGCACCAATCACAGCCCCACGCATTAGGACGCACAAGCGAGCAATCGATTGCCCCCGCCTGGCCTTGCCCAACAGCCGACCAATGAGGGTGCGAGCATGGGCTTTTCCCATTTGCTGTAGCAACCGCTGCCACTGCCAGCGCTTCACAGAAAGCACTATAAAATGCAAGGCTTGTGTCCTAGCGTCCTCGGACGATAGGGCACCGTGTTCGGCTGCGGCGTCCCTCCGCTGCTGCTGCTGCCTCTACGGCAGTGGAAGAAGGAGAGATGTGGGGCTAGGAGAGCAAGGAAAAAAAGGAAATTGGCAAGCATACGAAAAGGAAAAACTGGGCGAACTCTGTGCAATAGAAGTGGATGCAAGGGGCACCATTCTGTAAATCGCTAATCACTGACAATCAGGTAATCAATCAAGCAATCGCTGTCAACCTTCTTCACTCTCAAGCATGCTTCCTCTCCATCTTTTTCAAAATTGACCCTCATGTCTCCTTGCAAGTGGCTTGAGGTGCAGCCTCGAACCACTCGTATGTCAGCTGTACGTCGCGATCTCAGTATTTGTGGCCTCTGTTAACAATTGGATCTTCACTGGCAATGATGGAAGTGGAATGCACGCCATCCATCTCTCTTATTCATGTATGTCTCAATGTCGAATTTGACACCTTTTTTTATATGGTAATTGTCAAATAAATGATCCTTGCATCTCATCTTGTCACCTCTTTTCGGCCTTTCTTGCCCTGAACAATGGGGTGTTGATGGGGGAAATGGGGGAGGGGGGTGCCTCCCAATTCGCTACGATTATCGCAGCAGAGTTTTGAAAGACCGGGCTGTGCTCTGTAGGTTGGTGTTCCACTTCTCCACTTTTAATTTGGCTGGAAAATGGAAATTCATTTAACTTGACATGGCTGACACCTTGTCACGTGCAGTGGAAGGTGAGTCGAAGTCGGACTACAAACCGGTGACTAGATTATACTGCCTTCTTGATTGGCGAAGTCCAGTAGAGTAGGAAATCTCTACAAATTTATTTCATTCCGGAAGGATTAGAAGAAGCGAAGCCGGCTAATATCCATCCATCCTGTATTCATCCATCCATCCATCCTTCCATCCATCCATTCATCCATCTAGCCTGCATTTCATTCGAGTTAAAATCTAGTGGTATTTGCTGGTTCTTCTATTTTAATCTTTTTCCGTCGGTAACGTCCCATAAGCCTGCGACTAAAGTCGGATAGCAAACTTGACCAATTGCAATATCGGGGGCCATTAAAGTAGGGTCAGTAGGGCATGCCTCCGACCGGATGATCTCTCTGCGCGACTTTTTGCTATAAACGTCTGAACAAGTTGTAGGCCTCCGTTCCTCTGTCAACTACATAATCCAAGGTTATTTTCGCATTCGGTAGGGCTCCAATCGGTTTTTCAGTGTCGCAACCACAGTCTCAAGTGCTTTCCTCACACCCCTCGCCCCTCCCCCAACACTTTGTTGATCATTGCCGACGAACAAGAGATGAAAGGCAAAGGAAAAGGGCAAGTGAGGAGTACATAATTTTGGACATTTATTAATCACAAATTGTCCCATTTCAATGCGGTCTTGTGAAGACTAACTTTTTTGTGACAAAACATGAAGGGATTAAATAAAAATTGCCTACGTGTGTGTGTGTACTTATTTCCAAGACAAAAACGCAGACAGCTGGGATAATTTCAACCGAGTGCTCAACCGCAGTGCTGCTCCTCGACGGTTGGAGTGGTGGGCTGCGTAGTTGTCAAAATTTAACCGCAAATTAAATTTTTTAACACACTTGGACCACATACTACTTGGGAGACAGACCAGACCCGAACTGAGACCAAGGCGGGACGGGGGATTAGAAGAACTAACTCAAAGCCGTTGACGTGAAAAGGGAAAGTTGTCGAGGTACGTCCACTGATTCCAACCGAGAAGTACAACAAGTTGGAGAATTAGAAACCTGAAAAATGCCCTGCTTAATGACAGAATAACAAATGCAGACACGCACACATAAAAAAGGAGGAAAAGTACACACATTGAGACATGGATGGATGTCTGAATGGAGCGAGGGACGATGTGCATTCCGCCTCCGTTGTTGCTGCTGCGCAGATCGGGTTGGTTGAGATCGCGATATAGAACTGACATAGCATGAGACTAGACTTTGAGCCGCCACAAGATCGACAATTCGAGTCGTGAGGGTCAAATACCCACAGGATAGATGCACGAGTGATAAAGACTTCACCTGAGATTGATTGATTGATTGTCAAAGCTTATTGATTTACAGGGTGGAGCCAGAGGCACCCACTTTTATTGCACAGATTTCGCCCGAAATTCCTTTTGTGTGATTTTTCTGATTCCTTTTCCAGTCACCACCTTCCATTAGCAACAGCAAAGGCGGTATGTGTGTGTATGTGGTCCTGCCATTACCTCTGCTACTGTAGAGGCAGTAGCAGCAGCAACAGCAGGGGAACGGCGCAGCCCTGGGAGGGTGCGTACCAGTTCAAGGGATGTAGGCAACTGGAGGCTGCTTTTATAGTGATTTCTGTGAGAGGTTATAGCAAATGGGAAAAGTGCGTTCCTTCACCCCCATTGGTCGGCTGTGGGCTAGAAGCGATGGACGCAATCGATAGCGTACGCGTGTGCGCAGGTGCAATTCAATGCGTGCAGGTGATTGGACAGACTAATTTTCCACGCTTGTGGACAGAAGAAGCTGTAGCAGCAGTAAAATGAATCATTTTCCCGGTCGTTTCCAGCCTGCAGTATGTTATGACTCAATTTTCAAAGAGAAATAAGCCACCAACTGGCACAAAATAAGGTGTGTAGCGTTTGTGTAATGTCTAGAGACTGGTTCGCCCATTAAAAGTAGCGAGTGTGTAGCCCCTCCGTTCTCTCTAACTATAATAGATATGAATAATTTTACTCATAGTTGAATGTGGTTTGTGCATGGGTGGTAAGTGGCAAGTGTGTCTGTCCCCCCACTTCTAGTTGAGCCACGTGTGGTGAACTAGTCCGGCGGTTCCGAAGATCCTAGTCACGACGACTGGCAGGAGACGGTGGTGGTGGTGTGATCATCCAAACAGCGTGCGATGAAGGCGTAAAATCCGTATGGACGTACAGAAGTCGTCAAGCATAATTTTTGTATATGTAAACTTCGCGAGGATGGTCGCACATCAATCAGTGACATTTCAGGTGGAAGTGTTTCTCATCCCACAGCGATCACTCCGGTGAGCGCAAATTCGTCATGCGGAGGGCTGAACGCACAACAGATCGTAAAAAAAGCTTCTCTGTGGAAAAGGTAAACACACTCACTTAAGGGCATTTGTAACCCTGTAAGTTTGTCGCGCACCGGACATAGAAGTGGCGTCGGGGGACAGGGTGGAAAAGAAAATTCATCCTTAAGCCTTCAAATTTTTTGGCCTCTCTGTCTTCCATCAGAGCTAAACAAATACCGTTTTCAATTGGACATTACATTGCTTCCCCTCTAACCCTTCCTAAGTACGCATCATCGCCCGATTGACGAGAATGCCAATACATCACAGATCAAAAAAGTCGTTTTCTCTCAGATATTACCTTTCATTGCAGACTGAGAGTGTTTCAGTTCAAGCGAGTGCAAAGTATGAAAAGACCTGCTTGTGGTTGAGATCCGAAAGGGAGCTTTTAGATGACATCTTAGCAACCTGGGTCTCAGAAAAAAATAGGCCATCTCAGTCACTTCACTGTTTTACCTTTCAAATATGAAATAAAAATAATCACGATTAATCTGATATTTCATTTCAAATCGGTTTCAGTACGTTGTGATAAACTGCGTCACATATATGTGACGCATTGGCTTAGATGGTAAGAAATGAACGAAATGCATACATGTGACCCCTACAGTCAGAAAAATACTTTGTTTCTTATATGTAATACATTTATTAACATTATTAACTTCTTTTTTTCCCAACTCTGTTTCATTTTGTTGTGGTCATTTGTGTCACATATGTGCGACGCGTTGGCCTAGGTAGGGAAGAATCGAGGAGTTGCGTCTATGTGATCGTTACAGTCATTTGAACGGTTCACTCTCTAAACGTGACAGATGTATTGTAATTATTAATTCTTCTATTTCCTCCAACTCTGTTTCATTTGATTGTGATTAACTGGGGCACATATGTGTGACGCGTTGATTTAAGCAGGGAGGGATCGGAGAGTCGCATGAATGTGACACTGATGACATTAAGTGAACCTTCGGCATAGACCCATCCACTGAGAAAAATGAGTCCTTCAAACAGAGAGTGATGCTTTCTTGAGCCCTCATCTCTGTGAGTCGGTAAACAGCTTTTAAATTTGCAATTTCGAAGAACAAGATGTTAATTTGTTTTTTACCCCACCACCTCCCTCACTTCGTCCAATGCCTCGTGACAATGGAGGTGTTGATGTTGATAGGACCGTGCTGTCAATCAACTAAGGTAAACAGCAATTCCTTTTTATTACCCCATTTTGTCGAATTTGCACGCGGTGATTGAGAAGAAAGTAAATAAATGAACGAATTGGAGCTGTTTTTAATGCTTACTTGATTCACTCATTTTATCCATTCATGGTTGCCAAAAACTGACTGTTGTCGCCTTTCTGGGCCCTACACCTACAAGGCGCCTTGTTAATGCAAACGATGAAAGCAAAGAACGCAAAGAATTTTTTTAAAAAAGTTGCAATTTTTGAGAGCACACAATCTTTGCAGTTGAAAAGGCACGATGTGGTTTATGTTCGTCTTTAAAACCTCAGCCTGAGAGGCAAGCGAGAAACCCGGCTAACCTAAATGCAACAGAACAGGCGGACTGAAAAGCCGATGGAGGGGAGGTTTGGCGACACGAAGGTATTGCTGAGTAGGCAGGAGTGGAGTGCGCTTTAATGTTGCATCGATCACCTTCTCCGAATGGAGAAGTCACCACGCCTACAACGGTGAGGTCGAGTTCCTATTCCTTTGTAATGCTGCCGACAGCTTTCACTCACATCAGCTGATATTTGGTGGTCTTGCGGGGTTCAAATTAGGAAGAATTTTGTAGAGCGAAGGTCAGAGTGGGATGAGGAGTAAGGTGTAATGTGCCAAGAGGCTGAGACGAGTCAATGTATCGGGTAACATCGAGGTACCGCATAAACTTCTTCCGTTACCTGATAGCCAGATAGGTTGTTAGAGCCCACCTTCCCCTTGCCATGAAGAGAGAGGTACACGATTCCGCCGAAGGAGGGCGTTTCCGGTCTAACAACATCGTTACTTCCCCATTCTTGCCTATTTTAAATAAGGAAGAAGAGGATTCTTGAATTACCTCTTCCAATGTTTCCAACCCCTTTGCCAACAAGTGGTGAGGCGCGGAAGTACTGGCAAAGGGGTTGCATAACCCTCAACAAAGTAAAGTTTTAACAAGTAGGGGTATGGGAAAACTACATCTAAATTCCTTACACTCCCAACCGCCCTAGGAACAGCTGATCTTCTCTTCCTTATTTACCTGTTCAACCGGGCATTCCCACTCGCTCCCTCCACTTCGAAGGGAGGGGACTTCGAAGAAAGGGAGGGGAGAGGAGGGGGATTTTCAGTGCCGCACGTGTGCGACCTCGTTCGGACACTGCGTTGCCTCCTAGAATGTTTCATGTTTGAACTCGCTTTAAGTGGTTTCACAGCCCGACAGAAGAGGAGGTTTTTATTAGTTGACGGTGGGATCTCTACACACGCGCACATTCAATGTGAGGTAGAATAACCACCTAATTCGGACACTGACAGATGATAGGGAAAGATGTCAGGTTGACTGACGTCTTCATCAAACTTGTGTTTTTAACAACGATTCGGCTTACCACGGGGCTACCATTTCTGATAATGCATTAAAGGAAAACTAGATCACTACCTTGTGGTGATGTGGTGGAATAGATCTGACACCACGTCAAAACATTTACAGAGGATCACAAGAGAAGTTTGGTCCAGTACCACTCTGAGTGGTAGAGTTGGAGACGTATTGAAAGACCCCTCAGGGAACCCTTAAACAGCCAGTGATGCGTGATGCTAGAGGGCTTGAACACCCCTCCAGAGTAGGGAGACTTCTACATACCCCACATAAATGGTGATCAACTGACAATGAAAAGTAGGTCTTCTCTGTAAAATGGAGCTCCGTCCACGCTACTAGTCACCCACCCCTCCCACAGCCAGTGGCAATAAATGCCTGGTGGTCCAAGTGAAAGAGGCAAGCGCGCCACTAAATGACGGTTTTGCTGCTAGCGTGAGGCCATTTCAACAGTGACCACACCCTGTAAACTGCTTTCCAGGACAGTGGGGCAAGCTTTGAAAATTACACTCAAATGTCCCAATGGTGATTCAACAATGCCGCCGTATTTGCCCTCTTTGTTAGGCTAGCAAAAAGATTCGTGCAGTCCTTCAGTGACGATTTGTAGCTGTGTATGTCTGTCTCTTGGTGCGCTGCTCTCCTCATTCCATCCTGTTGATTCGAAACCCATCCACTCGCATAGACCACCAGGTGTCAGGGCGACTAATCTGGCGGGTGTGCGTTGAGGTCATAGGTGTGGAGACTTCTCATCTAATTGGTTGTATTGCAATCGAAAAAGACGCTACATGTGGTAGCAGAAGAATCTGCAGCCCAGAAGTGGTTTAGACAATCCGGTTCCGGAGATAAATCGTGGGTGATGGTGGCACTTCAGCTAACACCTCTCCCCAAAATTCCCCAGGACTCACCACCTCATTCCTGCAAAGCTATGCTTGCTTTGGATTTTTCCCTTGCTGAAGGCTAGACAGTAAATACGAGAGCGATCGAGACAGCCAGATGATGGACATGAATACTTCTTCCTAATCTGGGGAAGTAGCCAGGACCAGGGAATCAGCTGGAAGCAGGTTCAACGCTTATTCTTACAAGGCGGTACGTGCAAGACCTCAAGACCTGGTCGTGAGAATGGTCGCACCTTAGTTAGCATGAGAGGGGTGTAGGAAAGGGGTAGTGCTCGCCCTCCTCCCCATTCCCCTGATAATAATTTTTTAATCTCCAGGCTCAGTTGTCACATGACTGCCTACGGAGCAGAATGGCCGAATGGGGAGTGAAAGCTGTGAGATAATGGAAAGGGGGGAGGGAGGGAGATGCCCGGGGCTGTCCGGTCAATTGCCTCTGGCGGTAGAACGCCTTACTAGAATTGGACATCCCAACTACCTCGAGGCTTTTTAGGACGCTAATAGTGCTTCAGGCGCCTAAACCCCTTTGTGAGTTCTAAATAGACCTACCCCCGCACCCCTACGCCTCATGACGACCTCTGTGATAACTTGGACAACAACAATTGCGGTGTCCGCATACACAAAGGAAGTGCGTTGTAAGGCGATTCCATTTAGGAAAGCGTAGGGTACGGAGAGATGTTTTTGCTGCCTCCGTCTGGGAAAAAAATAAGGAGAACTGACTCATCCACCTCCCCTTCCCCTGCTCTCCAGCATACCGATGACGCACCGATGAGTCACAAATATGGGCTATGAGGTCACAACAGCTTACCCCTATCTTTCGCCCACCCCTTCCATACATTTTCCCTCGCTGTCTGGGGCATGGTCGAGGCCGAAAAGGTAACGGCTTCAAATAAACACATGTCCAACCTGGATATTTCATCGTTGCTTCTGGGGCCCCAACACCCACAACAGACGACATTTCTCGGGTGACTTCAAAGAGGTTTTCATCATTGATAAGGCAGAGAACAAAGGGGAGATTGTCAACAAAATAAGGCGCATGAAAATGGATGCACGACAATAATATGGGGCAGTGGATGGACTGCAGAGACGTTGGAGAGTTGACTGGAAGCGACTAACCGTCCAACACCACTACTGAAGTCATCACTACCATTACCACGATTTAAATCCTGGAAAGGAACCTCTTCTTCCCCTTAGCTGAAACGCCAAAGTTGTGAGATCGGGTGCCGGTTGAGTATTGGCAGTGTTGAGCTCAGTGATTCAGAAGTGATCCCTGTCTGCAAGGAAGCAAGAAACTGTTCTGACGGAAAAGAGAAGCAGCACTGAAATCACCACCTCCGCATGACGCTCTTGCCCTTGGTGGAACTCCAAGCCATTCCTCAAGTCTTATCACGGTCTACCAGTGTGGAAAGGGATGGAAGGCCGCAGGCATAGATGAAAGTACAGGACACAAAGATGGCGACCAAACCTATTCGACGATCACTTGTGAGGAAGCCAGTGCGTTGGAATTACTGTGCAGTGATAAAAAAACTCACTTTTAGAGAAGTAGATTCCTTAGAAAAGGCAAATCTGCAAATCAGGCACGAAGAGCGAGTTTGAGTCAAAGGGAGCACGTGATTCAGGCGGTGGCGCTGGACCTCCACCACGTCGTCGCTTCGCAAGCCTCTGTCCGGCATCATTAATTTACAGGCTGGGGGAGGGGGGATCCCTATCAAAACTTTTAGTAGTCGGCGTTTGATTCGTCATAATTATTATTTGGGCCACATTTGAAGTCCTTCCGATTCGTCCCGGAAATTACAATTCACGATCTTCTTTGTTTCAACTCCCGATGTGGGGATCGACTGCTGTAAGTCACGATGCTTTCTGAAAACTTTGACTGAAGTCTACCAATCACTGAAATACAGGCGAGAGACTATTCCTTGCCATTACACCAAGTAACGCATCACACCAGTTTATGACAAGGTCTGCAACACTTGGGGTACGTGGGGACAAGGTTAGACGCAGCATTCACTGCGTGATTCGACTCCAGGCCCTCCAAAACACATAAAAACAATCACCACTATTCAAAGGTAGTTGATTTTTAAATATCACGCTAGAGTAGCGTGAAATCCTACTTTTTCCTTTCGCCTGTGAGCGCGAGCTATATACCATGTGACAGACATTGGCGCAGCTGTGCATGAAAGGAAGGAGAGACGCTAATGAAATCAACCGTATTCCCGTGGTGTCAATGACCTCAAAGCAGAGGTACCATATTTGACCGCTGTCCCGCCGTCCCTTTAACCGGACGTACGAAACAGGAAAGCCTGCAGTCAGTGAAGAGACAATGGGGCTACAAATTACGGGAAAGAAAGTGCCTTAAAATCATCCTATTTCTAGCACCAACACTCGCCACCTCCGCCCTCCACTTTAGGTTAAATACTAAAGGACCTTTCAGATCCAACAGACTGATTTGATTTGCAGCTCACTGCAGTCGTAATTGTTGAGACGAACCAACAAACAAAACTATCCAGTCGAATTCTTCATTAGCTTTGGAATGCCTGTTCGGGGGTTGGTCCACTTCCTTTCGGGTACTATGATCCCCTAGCAATGCCAAAACACTTCAGATAGCTATTGCGAAAAACAGATTTGCCTGGATTCTGTGGGCAATTCTGTCTACCACTTAGGCGTTGAGACGTGAACCAAACATTTGTAGCAGTGGCCAATTTAAGTAGCACGGTATCGTGTTTCATTACTACAAACTGTCAATGTGGAAGGTGGCATAACCCTAGGTGACTCAATAGCAGCACACCAAGCAGATGGAAAGGTTTTCAACGAGGAAAAAGAGTTAGCTATGCAACTATCAGATCATGACATCTCTGCATGCAAATCGGCGACTCGTGGGTTGGAGGAAGCTGTGCGTAAAATTTGCGTATACATTTCTGCTTCTGCATAGCATAACCAATCGACACAAGCGACAGCGATTCCACGAGAGTTTGGAGGTAAGAGGCGCCAGAGATTAGAACCCACAAAAAGTAGCATTTGTTTAGCCTCCTCGGGGGCCTTTTAAAGTGTGCGCACAGATGCGTACGGCACAATCAACTTAACCGATTGGCGGACGGTGGAGGAGACGACAAGAGCGAACAAGATGGCTGTGTATCAGCAGGCGATGTGCGCAACTGACTACCTCAGGAGTAAGGTGCACTACAGACCAGTGGTGGGGATTATCAGCGGCTCAGGACTAGACAATATAACCGATCTTGTCGAAAATCCGCGCATGGTGCGATATAATGATATTCCTGGATTTCCGGACAGTGAGGGTGAGATTGAGATTGAAACTAATGCGTACCTGGTTTGATAGATCATTGATTTATCTCGGATGCAACCAAAAATTCATCCATTCATTCATCCCCTTATTCATCCATCTCTGTCCACCCAATTATCCACTTATCAATTTACTTGCCCATCCACCTATCCTTTTTAAGAGCCATTTAACCACTCTTATGGTCAGTTCGAAGTGTATATTTTGCACCTTACTTACGAAATATCACCTTTTAACCCACTAACTGTCTTACATCCATTATTTATTCATGCATTTGCAGATTTTCCACACGACCTATTACCTTAATGCAGTAGGAACATAAATTTGAAGTACTTCTAGGTACTTTTAAAGTAAGGGGCTTTCTAACAACTAACATATCGTATCTGAAAGTGGCTAAAAGCATCACAGTTGAAGTAACATTAGGTTGGCATTCCGTGGTAATTTAATTTCCTACCTTTAAAATGTACCGCCTTGATACTTTGCCAGAGGATTTATTGACTGTTTCCCGGTGACTCTTCACCTGCTTTTATGAAGGAGGCTCAATGCGGCGGCATTTTGGGTAGAAGGAAGTTGCGTTAGGTCCTGCCAACTCTTCAGAGGTCCTACTGGCAGTAGATCTCCATAAGAGCATATTTTATACTAACAATTTATAAGTAGCAATAATAATTTACATTTACCGTTCAGTTATTGGCAATGAGGGGAAGTTCATTTTTGGCGAGATTGGAGGCAAACATGTGGTGGTTGTGCAGAGGCGCCTACGGACTTACGAAGGACACGATTATAGTGTAGTAAGTTCCACTTTTTGGCTATAATTTTGCAAACTCAGGAAACTTCTGCCTCCTTAACTGCCTCGATTAAAATTATTCATCATACCCAAACAGATGTCAACTCCGATCCGAGTGATTCGATTGCTGGGTGCGAAGTATCTTTTCGTTACCACAACTGCGGGTGGGTTAAGTCCACAATTCAAAGTTGGCGATTTGGTGGTGTTGAAGGACCATGTCGATTTCTCCTCTTTGGTTGGGCACAACCCCCTCATTGGATCGCACGATCCTAGGTGAGAATTCTACAACACTACTTGAGTCGTTTAAAGCCCGTGGTTGTCAAAGTGATTGGAGGAGTTCCGACTTCTTACCAACCAAGTCAGTTACTTACACATGTGTCATTGATGCCTTCCGTGGTATGAACTAGTTGACCAAGTCTTCAAAACAGAAAGTTCAAGAGGGGATGCAAACTCCGACAAACGAAGACATCACAGACGTGCTGAAATCTCGATAATCTCCAACCCCACAAATGAGCAGAACTAGCATTCTTGAAGTGATAGAGCTTAGAATGGGCACACTTACAAATCTGTTGAGGAATTAGTAGATTCGGGGATCGCTTTCCGGCTTTTCTGGGCACCTACGACCGCCTCTTGCGCGATCTCGCCGCGAAGAGCATGAGAGAACTGTGACTGCAGGCGGAGATACTGGAGGGCGTCTACTTCCATATCGCGGGACCCGCCCATGAGACACCTGCCACAGCGCGCATGCTCCAACTCCTCGGCTGTGATGTCATGGGTAGGTGACTCTTCCTCCCCCTTTTCTAAAAAGCCTTTTTTATGGCCTGACCCTCCGGTCTATCTGCCACCACAGGCATGAGTCTAACTCAGGAGGTGCTGGTAGCGAAGAATCAAAATATGAAAGTCTTCGCGCTCTGCTTAATTACCAACAAGGTGACCACCGACTCCAACTCCATTGACAATCATAACCACGCGGCGGAGCTGCAGGTCGCTAAGACGAAGGCACCGCTTGTGGGCCGACTCATTGAACGTATTATCTTGAACACATCCGCCGAGTGATTGACATTGTTAACGAATAAAGACATTGCCACTCCCTTGATTTCAGCACACTTTGCATTTGCGCCGCGAAGGGCAGGAATATAAAGCACTTTGTCTATTCGTCTTTCGTTTTTGTTTTCTGCGGTCCAGTGTAAAGAGGTCACTAAGTGGCCGGACCTCGGCTTCAGGAGCCTACAAGAAAAAGGAGGGTGTAGAGGATGTGGTTTGTAGCAGCAGCCATGCAACGACTGTTTCATTCTACAATGCCGCAATAGAGGGAGTGAAAGGCGTCTGTCCACATGAACGATGAGGTGGTTGTCCAATGCGTTTGGTAGACAGGGGTTAGGTGACTAGCGGCGGGGCGATGTTGTGCTTCAATCGTTCGGCCATTCGTGAGTCATCCGCAGTCTAGGATTGCACTTCTGATCTGGAAGTGTGGCCTTATTGTGCCATCCACACGATTGACGGTGCACGTGAGTGCAGATAATAGGTGACAGCCACAAATATTTCAGTGGCGAGGGAGTTGTCGAACCAGCAACCCATACTTGACGACAGGTCATTATGACGGTCAGTGCTCCCTGAGGGGCAATGCTTGAGGCGACCATCTCCGATCCTTGCGATTGGCGGCACAGGGGTGACATGAGCAGAGCCCAACGGCACAGGAATTACTTAAAAACGCCCACATAACGACCATTATAAAATCCATTTATATGAAAGTAGGCAATGATAAAAGACAGCGTATGTAACGACCCAAGTCTTCCTTGGAGTCGTAAAAAGTCGTAGTATCATGGTAGAATGCATATTACTGACGTACAGAAGAGCGGAAGGAACAACTGGCGTGGTCTGGAGGCTATGCCATCGGGTGGAAGCACCATCTGCACAGAATGAGATGATCGCATAATCAAGCGCAGAGTTAGGCAAACCATCAAAGTACTACAAAACCTATCAATGGATACAATAAATTGGGAATAGTTAAATAAAATCATGGGGCTCATACGATTTCCACCAAAAGCTCAAGTATTCTCGACAATGCGAAATTTTAATGAAAAAATAAAGTCCTATTATTTTCGAATACAAATGAAGTCATTTAACACTTTGTTTGAGTGACCATTTAACAACGCTGGCACTTCAGTCTCTGCAGTTAGCATGCTGACATCCTCCCGGGCTGAAACTTATAAGCCGATAAGTAGCATGCTCCGATGTACTACTTTGGGTCATCACAACCCCGGGGCGCTGCATAATATCACGAACTGGAACATAAAGCTGCCGCAGCCTTTAACTACTGAAATGTAAACAGTAGTAAAGACGAAAGACTAAACAGCGACCTGTGCTCAAATCCTTGCATTTTGAAACGAAAGGCGACTCCGGCTGTTTTGTGGGTGGCTAAGGGGTCCATGCGATATTTGTGACCTCAGAAGAGGCCGAAATGTTAGACAATTGTTTGTGCTAGATTTTTAGCCGCATCCGAGACCTACTTACGACAGCGGAGCTAATAAACTTCTTGACCCAAAAGGAAATTTATTGGCCGAATATTTAACTCCGTCTGTTGGACATCGACTGAGGCGAATTTATGCTCCCAACGCACGGGCACACAGCTGCCCTCAATGTCCGACGAATAACAATGAATTTTCCCTACCATCCTCGGCGCAATCCGTGCTGTTGCACACTCGCAATCCGGATTGAAATGACTCATGGCATGTGCATCACGGCAGCAACAATTTACGCCACATACCAGCAAAAGTGGAGTTCTGGTTTGACTCTAAGCATCCTACCACAGAGTCGCGAGGAGCCCCTCAGTTGCAAGGCGTGACAACTTCATCACACCACGACGTCAATCACACCCTCAAAGTTGCAGGTGGTTGAGTCAAAAAGTTGGCGTTATGAACCATTAGGTCAGGGCACTTATAAGTTGAAGTGAACCCTCCAAAGTTGGATAGTTCTTCAATAACAAAAGAAAATCCGTAGACAAGAAGTGTGTGGAAGCGATGTGATTGCTCATGGCTGACTGCCTATGCAGACTGCCCTGCAGATCTCCATTGCCCTTGGTCTCTCCAGCGCAAGCTTATTAATAATAGATTGCCATTGTATGGCAAGGAGAGGGGAAGATACCTTCCAAAAAAACTAAGAATTACTCAGGAGTTTTCGATATCTCATTTGTTAATTACCATTTTTTTCTTCCACTCCAAGAGGCTTCCACTCTTCTGCTATGTGAAACCAAACGGAGAAGGATGGAGTGATAGATACAGGATGGATAGGTAGACGTGCAAGTAATTTGATCACTGCGCTTCGTCTGCTTTATCGTGACGGTACAATCATTTGCCCGGAGTTGTCAGCGCAGCAGCCATGGCAACCTTCGTTACCGAGTAGGCGAGATTTCTTATTATTTCCTAGCCAAATTTTTCCTTCTCTATCATTGTCACAGCATCGAAACAAGTTAGAACATTTAAATGATTCAACCCTGAAATGTCAGCGACTCGTTCATGCATACCTCTTCCCGCCTCCGCCAGTAGCAGTAGGGCGTGTTTGCTTCACAAGGTGACGCTGATGGATCATTTCAGTAGTAGATTTACTCATTCAGCGATCGATGGTGACCAATTGGAACATGCCAATCATTTTCCAGTGACACTGACTGATCACCACCCCTCCCCCGGTGGACCTCCCTCACCGACGGAAGGACAAAGGCAAGTGACGGCAACCTTGAGACGCCTACCGAATGCTCCAGCAATTGCTTTTCAGTACACTCAGCGAAGATCTGGTGTCAAGAGTCACGGCGTAGTGGATGCCTCAATGACCCAAAACCAACAGGGACCGCATTCCAGTCAACAATCACCCCTACTTTTCAAGGACTTTCCATCTCGATATGTCAGCCTCGGGTTTTAATTTGAGTCCAGGCATAGAGGCTGTCCTGTTGCAGTTTAGTGCCTCGAAATGTAGCTCAGCAGAACGCCTTTACCTCCCTTAATTTGTTATTCAAGTCAAACCGGGACTTTATGCACTACAACTTCGGTGTTAGCGGCTCCCAACTCACCACCGCAGGGTTCTTCTTCACCTCCAAGAACGCGTGATTGACACCAAAAAATTCGGCATGAAACCACTCCAATAACAATTTTTTAGGGGTAACGATGAACACACTTCCCAACCATTCACAAATTACGGAAAATTTAGCGGACCTTGAGAGTGTCCAAAGCTGATGCGAGTCAGACACTAGTGACCCCTTCGGTGGCGTGCATTTCTGGATGTTGGCTGAATGCCGTGATAGGTGTGCAATCGAGCAGTTGGAGACGGAGTTGGAAAATAAACTAACCCATGAATCCCGGCCTGATCTGAACAACACCCGTAAGCGCCAAAATTGAGAAGATCATTCCACAGACAATTGACTCAGTCCTTTTGAAGGGGTGACAATAAAAGGGAGGGATGCGTTTCCAACAGCTCATTACGTTAGCGACTTCGGTAGAATGGAATACGTGAGCACCTGCTAACCAGACTCCATTTGGCCGTCATAGACGATGACGATAGCAGATCCCCACCAAACAAATGACACCGACTTTTTAGTGATTACTTGGCACTGGAATCGTGGCCCACTTTGAGTACCCGTAGGATTTCTGGTGCTTCAACTGCAATAAGAACTCTTGGGGTCTGTTGTCAAGATCTGGCCTCCTAGCTGTTGAGCCTTACACCCTTTCCACGACCATGTGTGGGGATTTGTTAAGGGAGCTCCCGACAGGCGTGCCTACAACACCAAGGACCAGCTCCTTGAAGCCTACTGCCAGCGAGGACGCTCGAGTTGGAAGTAATGGGGAAGGTCTGGGGAAATGGAGGTGCTAGCGCCAGAGGCGGCAAGGCAGAATGATGATTAAGGTAATTCTAGTTTAAAACGACAAAAAAGAGGGACGGGATGTTCACAGCATAAGGATAACTAATTTTTCGGGTGTCACCCCACTTCTGCTCCTTCTTCTTCTTCAGGGGAGACGCTACAGCTAGGCAAACCGATTCCAATAAAACCTGGCAACCCCAATTGTGTTAACTGAACACTAAGTTTAAAGGGTGCATGGTTTATGTTTGGCCACAGTTTTCGAGGGTACCACTAGAAGGTCAACGAAAACTACGTCGGTCCTGAGCCTGGTCTAACGATCAGTGATGGAGCGACACCGGGGATTCGTGCAGGATCGCCTTTACAACATTTACACAGAAAGAATTGAATAGCAAATGCCTTCCGGAGGCAGTTGATAAGAAGTTCAATAAAAAAGTGACATTAAATTACCTTGTCTTGCATTAGCATAACTGCCACAGCGATGACAGCTTTGGCACACGAAATGGGCTCAATGAGCAAAAAAACAGGGAATTGAGCCTCCACAGCCTAGTTTGAGGAGAGAACACAACCAACAGATTCATGCAAACCTACCAAGGAACTTTCTTTGTCGCCGAGGGAAATTGTCGCACAACCGTTCGAAGGACGAGGTGATGGCGATACTCGCCGAAATGCATGCTCGAATGATCCCTCAGGAGACCGACAATGCAGCAGCCACCACAATCGCGTCAACTCTTGGCAACTGTCCGAGCTAATGTGCCTCGCATGGGAGCCGGAATTCAAAATATGCGTGGAAGTGGAGTTTACTGACGTTGAAGTACTAAATCAAAACATCCCCACCACAACATAGGAAACAAAACAGAATGAAAAACAAAAACAGAAAAAAAACAAGAGTCAGGCCGATAAATGACTGTAATTTATAAAAAAATCTGATCTGTTTTGAATATGACTGATAAATGTATGTATTTCACAGTGTTCAATGCGCATAGTTTACCACTTATTCACAAATGTTTTTGTTTTAAAACATGCATAAAGAAAGACGTTCTCCGCTTTCATAGATCCCCTCTCTCCCTCTCTCCATCCGACCGAGTCCAGAAGAGGGGAAATAGCAAGTCACTAATGCAATGACATTGAGTGTGTGAAGTGAAGATGATGAAAAGGGAGAAGGAAGGGTGAAACACAAATGCTCAAAATATTTCACGATGGAGAGGGACGTGGACGATTTCAAAGCGGTCGAGCCCGAACTCGGAAGAAGATAAAATTCCGCGGTAGACTAAACCGATTCTCATCCTGCAAAAAGAAAGACAAATTTCCTATTAAAACGACTTAAATAGTTGGACTAGCTCGGGAAACCAATGACTGACCTTTCTGGATATGCATTTCTCTTTGCTTTGGAAGACGCCAACAATGTAGGGCAGCGCGCGGTTTGCCAGTGACAGTGCGTTATCCACAACGATTCCCGATGGGGAGGAGTCTAGTGAAAGGGGTGAAAAAAAAACAGTAAAGTGGCTTGAAAGTAGGTTAACATGGCCTAGGAGCTACCCCTCACTCACCCTTCGGGGCACGACCAGGAGCACTAGTAGCCGGTAGAGAGGAGAGACGAGTCAAATTGAAGGCTTCAAAATCGTCATCGTGGAGGAAGTAGACGTGTCCATCATTCGACAACATCCGCCACTGTTCCACGGCGCCCGTGTCTGGTGATGAAAGAGAGGAAGAGATAATGGCCGATGAGAGCAGTGCGAGGGAACGCGAACCCCACAGAGACGGCCTTTCACCACTTGACAGCGCCTTTTCACCGGTCGAAACGTTTTCGGCTGTCTTTTGTTGCAGATGTCTATCCGAGCCGACCATGGGGATGAAGAGGACCAAATCATCAGGACGGAAGCTAAAATTAAACAATATGAGCAGACAGGAAAACGTGGAAGATCTTGGATCACATGCTAAGTGACATGAATGGGGGATGTAAATGGAACTGCTGGACGCACTTGGAGAAGACACATTCATGACGCGGAACACGAATTGGAACCTCACGAGAGGTCGAGGGTGCGACAGAGCCGTCCGAAGTGGCCATCGAGGTGATGGGAAGCATTGGAGATATCTGTAAACACAGAAATGAAGTCGGATGCATTATTGCTGTGAGATCGGGCCAAGAAGGTGGTCACCAAGGTTGTAAATGTGTAACCAATGGGTTTGTCCATTTGGACGCTGATTCGGTTAAAAGGGGTTATGGAGTTGGGAAACGCCACATTGCTTACCTCTGAGAGAGCGAAATCCCGAGGACGACATTCTAAAAAAGAAAATAAACCGACACCGTTCTCATTGTCTTCCTGAATACGAATCTAACGAAGGTGCAGACTTCACACACAACTTGTAAATGGGGTAAGCGAAGGATCTAGATACTCTAGGTTTCCACTAACTGCGCTCAAGTATCGAAACCTAAACGCTCCTGTTGGAGGAATTTAAAATAAATTCGGGCAACTAAAAGTCATTTGTTAATTAAGGTGAGGCTGAAGGTCGAAAAAGTGTGTGTGTTTTCACTACGGACACAGAGGAGCCCTTCCCCCTGGTCATGTGGTGCTCTTCGTTCCTACCTCGGTTGGTTGACTTTACCCCACTGAAACAAAGACGATATTCAAAGCAGGAGGAAGACTATGATATAGCAGAACGCGTCTGCAGTCTCCAGGGCCTCCAATTCCACGGAAGCAGCATGAGGCTGTAGTACACAAGAAAGCAACAGCAAACACGTACCTGTTGTCGCATCGTGGGTGCTTGGAAGGGTTTGTACGCCAACGGATTCGAACGTTGCGCCGACAGAAGAGGAGAAAAGGCTCGATTTTAGAGCCTCGAAATGGTTCACTAACTGGTTGAGACACGTCACCATCTCGCTCAAATAACTTTCTGCCCTCTAGAAAAGATATAGAGGGGGAAAGAAAGAGGATAGGCGATAATGTTTGTCGTTGATTCGCTTCAACTGAAGAATTAGTGCCTATTTACGGAGTTAGTGAATTACATAAGTGGCAGATGACAGGAAAGTGCTGTTGTTGTGCAACCCCACAGTGCCAATCATGTGAGACCAAAGCTATGGTGAGAATCAACCCTCCTTTACAACTCATGTGAGTTTTTGGTAGTGTTTATAGATGCCTTTTAATGAATTAATTTAAAAGCAAAAACTGTTTGACCCTTTTTGTTTACCTACAAAGAGGTAGCAAAACATTATCCCCGACAAGTGACGCGCAAAGCGTGCTCTCACTGCTTGTCGGTAATCTGGGGTCAATCTGAACACAGAACCTCTTGATGGCATTGGGTAGGGTCAAATTCCAACTTTTGGTACTGAAACGCTGCGAAGGAAGGGACTAGAAAGGGAACCCTTGTCTTTTATGAATTGGATGTCTCTCCAATCCCCCACTTCAAAAAAAGCAGGCGGGACGATAAACTTTAGTTCTTCACCGCTCGATGAAAAGGAGGATTCGAAAAAATAATCTTTCCCACCCATTTCATTGCGGCTGCTGAGGCATTATCTTCAAGGAAATCCTACCGTCATATGCAGACAATTGAGTATGATTGTGCTTTTCGGTTGCGTTGTTTTCAATCCGCTATCTTTTGAAAGCAAAAGATGCAAATACCTAATTCCCCAATATTCTTTAAATGTTAACTTCGGCCATTAAAAATCATGCAGAATTTGGAGCTTGGGTGGTTGCAAAAGTTGACGCGGTTTCGAAAGACCTTCCCCTGGGAGACTCCGTAAAGCCAGCCCTCCATCCGTGATGCTTCAATGCCGTATCCAATCAATGGGATGCGGAGTTGTTTCTCGCAAAGTGAGCACCTCAACTTCACCACCAATACCATGTCAAAATTAACCTTGACAGCGTGATGGGGCGCTAAAGTCTAGAACTAGTTCTATCACTGGCTTAGAAAAATGTTAAGGCAACAAATAACAAGGTTATTTGCCACAGGAGGGTGAGAGAATCTGTGTGAAGACGTTTCCGTTCACCACATTTGCCTCCAACTCGTCCATTGCACCAAGAACCTTGACCTTCGCACAAGATTACAGCGACTCTCCACTGAGGAATCCCTACCCAAACCAACAAGCACCTTGTTCGTCCGCCCATCGATGTTTCGAGCTACTGCCTGCACTACTTCACCTCACTTCGAAGACGAAAAAAGGTTTACGAGTTTCCATAACAAAGCTGTGGAGTCGGAGGTGTTAATTCAGGTTTAACGATGTCAAGGGCAATGACAATAAGCCTCTTAAATGCACTTCTCCATTTATGGTTGATTTGTTCCAAAGAGAAGCCTTTATGGGTGAAAAATTTATCCTTGTTTGACTAAAAGGGGTGCCCTCAAATCATTGATCTGAAAAGACCTGCAAAATAGTGCTTTCATCCAACCAGAAATACGCGGACACTGCAACAGACGGACGCCATCGCCAGCATCTTCAAATACGTAAAATACACACAAAAACAGGAAAACGTCTGCGCCGTTGTCACAACAGCATGACGCAAACAGGAATTTACGTGGATGTGTGCGTATTTGTAACTGTGCGGGTATCGAAAATATTTATGCCAAAACAAACAACTGACGACGCAGATTGGGGAGTCTGATGACGTATTATCAACGTTTTACGGCCAGGCTTGTCATCTTTAATATCGTGAACAGTACTGCCACAAGTAGTATCCCGGCTTAGAGTAGCAAAATGAAAAGCTCCACTTCGACCCGGACGGCAGCCACATTCAATACCGGGAGATGCAAAATAAAAGTGGATTAAAATGGTTACCTTGACATCCCTCATCAGCAAAACCTATTCCTCTTCTCGAGGTACCAAACTCACCTCTCCAGCAGTGAAGGTGGGCAGAGTGATGGGGAGCGGAGATGGAAGATGATTGTTGATTTGTCCAACGAGCCGCTGCAGGGAGTCATTGTGACAATCAAGAAGTTCACTCATCCGTAAATCTACCGTAGGAAGATGAATGGGTCAATGAAAGAGAAGATAGAACTAGTGGAGGGAGGATAAAGTGACGATTCTTACTAGATGGAGTAACAACGGAACCGGGAGAGCTGTCACTTTCACTGTCTTTGCTACCGCCGCTTCCATTGCTGTCGTGAAGGGAATAGAAGGCGGAGCTAAAATGTTGGGGGGTGGAGAAGTCGATGGAAGGTGCCTTTTCGACGAATTGAGAGGCATATATCGACAGATAGACATCCGATGACTGTACCGTGAGGGAGAGAGAAAATGACTCAGGCTATTGCAACAATTAGGCGACAAAATTAACCTCTCTAGGAAAAAGCATCAGACCTACCTCACAAGGAGGGGAAGGGGGGTGCGATGGAGGGTGATGAGAATCACAGACGTTGCCTTGGGCAAATTCAGTATCTATAGCTACGGAGACTGCCTTATCCTCGGTAGAGATATTGGCGAATCTGGAGTGAAAACCGAACTGATTGGGAGCACCTGTAGAAAATTAAATCGAAAAAACTTTCCGCACTTACGTCTCCTCAATACGGGCTAGCCTATCTGCCATGCTCGTGGAAACATCTACACTCTGTTGGTGATGATACGGTAAGAGGGAAAGCGCTCCGGGACTGGAGGCAAGTCGTGATCGCCTGCGTAATTGAGGCTGGTATCGCGCTTCAAATTCTTCACCCTTCCCCTCCCTCTGGTACGAATTGGGAAGAAAGCCAGCCGCCACTTCCTTCTCATCGGCCTCTAACTGCAGAAGCGCCTCCAAGATCATCTCCGCAAGGTCTGGCGGTAATTGGGCGGCCAAATCACGCATCTCTGCCCCGCTCACTGCTGGCAACGACGTCTCCAGCCCCATCACACTACGATCAATAACTTCTGGAGGTAGGGGACGAAAGCGAACCTCGGCAGGGCGATTAGAGGGTAGACGAAAGGCAGAGGAGGGTGAATAGAGGTTGAGCTGACTGGTAGAGTGGCATTTGCTTTGCGTAGTGAGCCGTTTGTTGGAAGAGGAGGCAGCAGTGGAGATAAGGGAGATACGAGAAGGCTGTCGTGGTGCACGGAAGTGTGGATAAAGGGGACGAAAAATTTGAGCGAGGATGTGGTTTTTCAGCGCCTGCGCCAGGGTCTCACGACGACGTGACTCTGTATGTTGGAAAGCTGTCAGACGATTGATATATCGGTCATTGATATCGCTCCATACTGTCGTCATTCGACGACGACGCACAATCTCCAGGAGAGACCTGGAAGACAAAATAATGGATATTGTATGCAAAATTGACATAAAGGAGGAGGAAGATTAAAAGCCGGTGTACGCACTTAACATAGAGTTCAGGTGTGTCCTGCAGCTGATCCAACACAGCACTGCACTTGGAGATGCTTGTCAAGTTTTTGTAACACCGTAGGCACTCACGATTCTTGGTTGTTAGCTCCGAAGAGAAGGTCTGAAGCTGCCTGGTAAAGTGAAACCCAAGACAACAAAAAACGCCACTTCTAGCAGCCGAGTGATGGGTCATTAACCACTAGCTTCCCGATTTTATTCAGCGGAAAATTTCGTTCCAGAATGCGACTTAACTGGTAAGGGTGAAAAGTAAGATATGGCGGAGACCAAGTTGAAAAATACCTTGGATGGCAATAGGTGAATCCACCTAAAGATCTCTGAATCATCCACCCATCCAGATCCATCATTCATAATCCCATTAATCCATTCACTTAGAACTTCGTTTGTCTACCCAACCATCTAGGCACAACTCCATGTTCCCCCATCCACACTTTCAGACTCTATCTTTCTGTACCATATTACGGCTTCAAAAGTGACTCTGGATGCTGCATGTCCGTAATTCCATCCATGTGTTTATTTGTACAAACATTATTTAGCCTACCTCTCCATGACCCCAAAACTCCATCTATCACTCCAACCACCCTTCTGATGGTTCACTCATAAAACTGTACCTCCAACTGCTCCTTTGACTCCTAATAAATTCGTTCAAGCGTCCATTGCAAACCTCGATTTGACGTAAGTCACTAGCCCAATGCTGTTGCACGGCCAAATAAACTCAACAACCTTGGAGGGACTGGAGGTTAATAAGGAGTTCAGCAACACCGATGCAATGAAATGAAGTTACTCACTCCTGGAGCATCGAGAGAGCCTCAGCAAGATCCAATTTCAGCTGGACGATCTTGTAAAAGGTAGCCTGAAGGTTTTTATGGGCCGAAGTAATAGCAACGATACGATGATTTTGTGCCCACAGGGCCTGGCGTAGATGCTTTTCCGGCCTTTTCAACTGAAAAAAGCGAAGACTCTCCAAGTCCTTGAAGGCGAATTTCATCTAATGTTTGTTTCGAAAGTGACGTAAATCTGGGAAAAAATACTCCCACGAAAGTTTTTTAATAACAACACAACAATCCAAATACATACCTGACAGTCGATCAGAATCTCCTCTGCCATTTCTGTAATAATCACTTGCATTTGCACCGCCCGGTCCATCAGCTTCGATAGCCTTGCCAGGTGGCAACTGAAGTTCCGCCTCGAAAGGCGCCAATTGAGATCCCGAGCCCTTGAATGTGGTGACACCAAAGTCTCCTCCACTTCTGACGTTGCCATCTCTTCCTCCTCTTCAGGAATGGGCCAGGAAGACGCTGAGGTCACGGCAAAGGAGGTGGTGGTATTGACGATATTAGCAGATGTCTTAGGAGTGGGAATTGAGAGCCTTGAAGCCACCCTATCCCTTCCTCTTTCTCCTTCCTCCTCCTCCTCCTCTGTAGAAAGCTCAGGGTCCCGCGGAGCGGATTCAAGTAGATCCGCGAACGCCTTCAAATTTCTACAAGGTAAAGAGAATGGTATAAAATCCGACTTTACCATCTTGTTCAAGTTAGGTACTAACGAGAAGACGTAGGCAAGTCGCGGTTGGGTCGATGCATCCACCATCTCCTCTTCATCTTCTCCAACCATGAGCAGAGAGTTGTTATCAGCATCCTCTTTTGCGGCAGTGATTTGGCTAAGGGTGGCTCCAGGAGGGGATTCCTGCATGGCTTTCAACAGAGTGCCCGAATCCTCTACTAACTCTAACAGAGGCGCCTCCAAACTGGATACAACGGTGGTTGAACCCTCCCCACTGTCCCCATCGGTTTGAGAGGTGGTGGGGGAAGAGCCAGAGAGGTAAAAGGAGGCAACCCCAGCAGCTATGGTATGAGTGAGTCTGGACTGGGGAAGTAAAGGCGGAGGAGCGAGGCGTGACGAGGCGACAGGGATAGAGATGTCTCCAGAACTGTTAGCTGCCGAGGGAAGGCGAAGACCGCTGCACAATGGACCCGGGAAGTTTAATGTACTGAGACGACGTGGAGTGCTGCTGGCCATTTGGAGGCATACCCAGTCGTAGAGGGTGCGTGGTTGACCGTAGACGCTGTAGCTTTCGCTCTAAAACGAAAGTACACAGTGTGATTCGGTGCTATAAAGGCCTCGCAGTGACCTACGTTCCTAAGTCAATTTATTTAACTGCTAATGCGGTGGTAGGAGCAGAAATGGGACTGCGGAGAGCACTAAAGAAGACATCCAAGGCAGAAAATTAGCTGTTTCAGTTCCTCTACCCATTCGATCGCTTACGCACTACTAGTCGTCCAGGTGATAATGAACCTTCTCTTTCAGGCTCAGGGAGTGAAAAATACTTGAAGGTGTCAACCCTTCGCCGTCTTGCTAAGGGGAGTTGGTCTGTAAGAAGACGAACCAAATTTCCGATTCAACTCAGTAATTAGTTAAAATTGGAGTAAAACAAGGCGTTGCACCGCAGTTAATTTCATCTGGCTCAAAGCCAGCAATAGTAATATGGTCCAAAAATAGTCTCACTGCGGAAGCCATCGCTATCCGTCCCACAGCGCTGCGCAAGGCCCTGGGTGCGCTCGTTGGCGCGTGTCTAGACTCCTGTCACATGACCACCAATTTCACTCGGGTTAGGGAAAGGCGAACCCGCCTAGGTTGCATTGCAGAGGCAATATGCCGAGACCTAACGAGGAAGCAACATCAATACACAAGATCCAGGTGGAACAAAAATGTGGTGCAAACGGGAGTTAGACCATGGATGAGAAATACCGCTTCCACTGCGCAAGGGGGAGGGGTGACAGTACTGACATAATTAATGACCCAAGTATGCGATATTTGAGAACCTTTAATGCAGGATAGCAGACAGGTCCAAAAAAACAAGAATGACGCACTTGTATGCGGCCGTTCACTATCCAACCCTTTCCCCAGCCTCTTATCTGCGCCTCGTGAATGAAGCTACCGTGGAGGAGATAGGAATAGTTGTATTTATGTGATAGAAACCTCGGTAGTGACAGACGAGCGGAAGCGCTAGACGCTACTCATGTCTGACACGGTACTGAATCCAATATGACGCCTAAGCACTTCTAGTGTCGCACTTTCATCTGTTTAGTTAGAACTACAAAAATTATTCAACACGAACTGCCGGCCATCAAATCTAGATGCCAGATGCGGTGTGAATACTTACTAGATGGTACATGCGACAGCCCAAACAGGTATTAGCAAGGCAGTGAATTCAAATGGGATTTATTCGGCAGGTCCAAAATTAACCTCGCCTATGGGAAGGAAATGCCGTCCACCCAGACCATCGACAAATAAACACCTTGAACCGTCAAGGATAGAACGCACTAATCACAAGCGGGTACACGTTAGCAGGTACCTACTCAACTGACTACGCAGGTCCTAGATTAAACAAAAGCAATTTTAGGAAAAGCTCTAATAAGAAATTAAGCATTGTGAAGCCAAAGGTATGTGCATCGATGCATCTATGCAGCTTTAAGCAGACACGCCCAAGGAAACGATCAACACATTAGCTGCATCCTTCTCCAGAAAATACCTTTTTTTGTACTTTAAACACTTGGAAACGAGTATTTGTTTGTGCGTGCGTAGCTCTCGTGTTTACTCCCAAACAAGCATTTTCAACTAACAAGGCACGTGGTCGTGGGCGCACACACCCGTGTGCGTTCACAGACACAAGTCTGTGGGGAGGAAAGGAGAGAAAAAAAGTGGAATTCGAAGGCAAAAGGGGCCTTTAAAATGAAGCAGCAATTTCACGTACCATTAACTCGGCGGAGGCGGCCAAAAGAGAGGGTAGGAGGGGGACACTGCGGAGTCGATTTTTGATACTAGGAAATCTGAAAAAGAAAAGTGCACAAACATTGTTGGAACAACACTGCTCTGGTTAGGTGATTTAACTAGAGTAATAAAACTGAAGGATTCGGAGTTCAACCAAGCACTTTAAACGAGGAACAAGAACGGTGATTGTAGGAAGGCAAGGAAATAAGAACTCAATGTTGAGTACTAGCTTCGACGAGCTTTGCCAACGTCCACGGGACACCTATTAAGATACAAAACCACCAGTCTCATTTCAATATCTACATACGCCGTTTGCCGACAGCAGTCCCACTTTTGATTTGCATGGCTAGGATAGTACAGTATACACATGAAGCTTTTGATGGACAAGGACAAAGCTACTGAATGCGGAAGGCAGACTTGATCGAAGACCACGAGGTGGTGAGCAGCGTGGATGGGCCGAAAAGGCAGTGGAGGAAACAGTGGGTGGATGAGTTGTCAGCGGCACAAAGGTGTACCAACCGAAAATGACCTTGAAAACCGGCGTAACAGAGCATCTTTGTAAGCAAAACTTTCAACTGACCATTCATATTTTACGCAGCTAAAGTTGGATTTACATTTGCAATTTCAAGGCTGGTCGAGCAGAGGACATCAGAGTTTTCGAAGCAAAGCCATGTCAAAATAAGTCCAATACCCAAAATGAGACCAAATAAGGTGGTGGACAAAACAGGTGAATTGGTGTAATGAAAAAAAAACACTGGAATTAAGGATACACACCAGTTCGATTACCACACCTGCGCCATGGCATTCCACGCCGGTCTTCGAGGAGTGCAAAAACAGGGCCAGCACGAGTCACCTGCGTGATAGGGCATCAGGCCTACCGCGCATAGCAGGCAGGCATCACATGTTTAGGCAGTGGCATCTGACGAAATGCGGCATTGGCAGGCGGGTTACAAATTACAACAACACAAAAGAGACGCAACTCCGACGTAAGGACTAAAACTGCGCTGACTTCTGCTCTCCCTTCTCTTGCACGAGCTGGAGTCCAGCCGCGGGGCTAAAACTGGTTGTGCTTTGGTGTACAGGGGATGACGAGGCTAATACAACCTTCATACTACTGGTTATGCATGGTTAGCTGTAGTGTCGCCAAGGGCGGCTCCTTGATATTACCTCCCGAAAATGCAGAGAAGCGTGACACTGAACCCTGGAAACTGATGGCAAGAGGATTAAGTGACTACCATTGCATATGGTTAGCAAGTTGTACCTCTGCAGAGATGACGATCAACCAAGGAATCACAGGTGCCTGATGTCGTCATTTCCTATGAGGAGGATCTGGGATGGGAAAAAATCTAGACTTATTTGCAAGTGGACAACGAGCTATATTTGGAGTCCAGATGCCTTCACAATGCTGGAGAGAGCCGAGGTTTCAAGTTAGATAAACGATTGGAGGAAGTGATGAGATTAGATTAATGTGCTGAGGAGTTGGGGCGGTAAAGGGAATTTCATTGGCACTTGGAAAGTAATCACGCCAGTTGTGGGTGACAGTGACCATCTCATGACATTTTTAGGTATGCGACATTAACATACGAAATAATTTTCCCATCACAAACATCAGGGTTGACTGGGCATTAACAAGGGGCATTCATTATGGCTGCCTTGAAAGTAACAAATAGAAGAGACAAGACTGCTCAATTTACAGAGCTATTCAGCAATTGAGCGAAACCTAGATTGACCTTGTCCCGAATACTTCTGTTGAAACTAGCAAATGAGCAGAATTCCAGGCTTCAGCACCTTCTACTCTGTGCTAAGAAAAGCTAAGACATCAATACAGACCGATAGCAAAGGAATGGAAAAGATACGTCTGCAGGCAAGGGTAGCTAACTCTGAAAATCTAGCGCCTCTCCACGATGCGGGAAGTCAGATAGCATCATATTCATAAAGGATTGAATAGATAAGGAGTTATGGGAGGAGCGTAGAAGACCCTAAGCTTTTGAGGCAAATTAGTCGCCTTGTTATGAAGAAACGACGTGTCGTGAAACCTACTGCCTTCATCAAATTCAATTTGCTCAGCATTTTCCGACATGACTGATGTAGTCCTTCAAAATCCACTGTTGCTAAAGATGGCGTAGGTCCAGCTTATGGGCTAATAAACGTTCAGAAAATCCCATTCCAAGTAGGCTTTACTTTTCCTACTATTTCGTTTCCGGCAAATAAATCTAAGCACCTGGGAAACCACAACCAAGACAATCTTTTTTAGACCGAACTTAATGTCACAGTAATTCGAATTTCATTAGGTGAGTGGAGTGGAATACAGAATGACCCAACTCACTTGCTCATATTGGCCTCCCAGCGTCCAACCTGACTGCAAAAATTTGCGTAGTCTTTCCAGTAGACGTCCAAAGCCTTCCTAAACTCCTGCATGTCATGATCAAAGTTGGCTTGCGCCACGAACCAACCCTGAAAGAAGCGTTAAAAACAAGTAAATCATAAACAGATTGGGTGAAGCTAAAACAATATATGTGGGACGTTTTCAGGCTGGGGATAACTACATTTAGCAGCAGCTGAGGTTGCCAGTTCGGTGGAGCAAGGATTAATTCCATATTGGAGCAGCAAAACATCTAAGCTGCGGTAATGGACTTGCACCTAAGATCCCAGTAACATGAAATTATGTTTACCAGGGGAAATATACGAAGCATTGGCGCAATTTCTTACAGTGAATTAGCCTAAAGTAGCCCTCAAGTCAACTCGCTTGACCAGGTGATTGATAAACCTCCGTCCGGAGCCCAATGCGATCTGCCTTGAGGATGAGCTACAAAACCTAGCTATTAAAATTGCCCCCAACCGGGTGTTTGTGTGATCTCGTTGCAAACTCCTTTCTTCTTCACAGGTAAATTGGGGACAAAAAAATAAAACGGTTTTCTTCTCTAATATGACTGGCCAGATGGCGACATTATTGACAGTTCACAAATGAGATATCTAGGAAAAGAAATGAAACTTTTATTACCCACACTTTACTCACATTCCATGACTAACCCAATCTGGTGAGAGAAGTGATGCTGGGATGACGCAAGATATTGCTATATTTGTAGATGTATTTTCACTAGCTTTCAAAACACACTCTACCACATAAAATAGCAGCGAAAAGTGCCAAAAAGATAACAGAAGACTGAATTTGTCTGCCCGACCGACAACACGTGAAAACCATAATTGTGCTACATTATAAACAGGATCTACTTTGAGAACAAGCGCATAAATAGCCGTCTGCTAGCTCAAGAGACCATTAGGGCAAGATTTCAACAAAACAAAAAAGCCAAAAGTTAAGCAGGAAAGGGAATTTTAAACAATTCTTCTCGATAGGGAAAAGAGCAGCTAAGTCAACCAACCTCACACATGAGGCGCTGTTCCTGGTCCAGCCGTTGAACCGTTTCGCCATCTTCCCTCACCGCGGCAATGAGGCCTTTCAGGTATTTTTGGAACGAAACCACCGTTGATTCTGTGGGCGTTTTTAAAGCGTCTAGCAAATTTTGTGAGATTTCAGGAGCTGAATTGGAGATAGAAAAAAATTATAACTTGTCTAAATTGCACGATCACAGCAAATGCCTGAGGGATCGTTAATTTGAAGTAGTTAAATGCACCCCTACCACCACCAGATAACCGCCATACTCACCAACTAGAGTCAGACGAACAGGACCTTAGCAGCAGCTCCGAGGATTACTGAGGCCAGTTAATAGAAGGACAACAGGCTAGTGATGACCAAATCCCACGGAGGGGAGTTGGCAGATAGTGACCTTTGAACACGCGCACGCAAATGGGGGACTCAGGCTAATCCGGAGTCTTTAATTTTATCGGCACAAGACAAGAGGAATCGCCATGGTGACACCAACCCTCCTATTTTTTGTGCAAATGACGTGGACTAGACCGGTTACAGTCAATCAAGAGGGTAGGCAATACCGCGAGCTGATTGACGAAATCGCTTGTCACCATAGTACTATAACTTGAAACCACCGAAAACTTTACGCATAGTTTACGGGGCGATAGAGCGCAATCGTTTTGAAAATGCCTGCACACATCTAAGTCAGTTAGGGACCCAACCATGGGAGTTCCCAGTCGTCAGCGTAACTCATGCTAATGAAAATCTGCGCGCATAACCCGTCGTACGACGAAGATGCATAGATGAGTCTTTCCGTGAGAACAGTGAATACGATCAAAACATCCGAAAAATTTACAATTAGCGATGCTGGGTACCAAAGAGGAAAGTAAGCTGCCATAGAATGGTGCGACTACACTGACAAATTATTCAATGCCGAGGTTTTACAAATATTAGAGCAAAGTGCTGGGATAAGTACATCAAAGACTTGTGTAAATTTGTCTCTTTTTTAAAAGTCTTGAATTGGTCTGAATGGCACTATTTCGCATAGCAATTATGCAGCTAACCTTTAAGTGCACACGTCTCGGGGGTAATTGTGTTATCGCGAGAGAAGACGTAGATTGGATTGGTTGGATCCTATACAGGAGAAACAAGATCAAAATATGTCACGATCAGTTAGGTGCAAAGGCATAAGCAATGGGCTGACTTCGCCAGCACTGTGGTCGTCGATTTCATGAAGCTCCCTCAATTGGCAGCCTCCGTTCGTGAGGAGTATTTGATGATCCTGCGGCAGGTTGTAATACCTGGCCAAATGCACGGTGAGACTGCCAAATCTATACACAGAAAAGAAAGCGATAAAATTAAAATAATTAAACAACTTACCGATCCTGAAGGTTTGTGTTGTCAATTTCAATTAGTTTGCACTGGGACATCAAGAACACGTACATTTTGAGTCTAAAAAGCACCAGTGTCAACATTAAAGTAAAAATTAAACTAGGGAAATGCAGTGTTATACGCTTACATAGTACATAGGCTAACTATCACCAAAAAAATCAGTCTCAGTTGCAATAAAAATGTTTCACAAACCCGACTATCAGTAAGTAGGAACACTGCCGAAAAAACCAGCCAGAAGACCAAAGGAAAGACAGACAGAGGGTTTAAAGGCTTACAAAAATGCATTTTAACAAGAAATAATGAGAAAAATGCAGATGTTTAATCGGCGAACATAATTAGGAAAAAGTGATGCAAAGAGAAGAAAGTAAAAATTAGGAAAAAGTGAGAGCAGACGTCAAAAGCACCGCAGAAAAAAAAAGTCAGACCCCACCGACCTGTGTAAGAACTGTCATAAATCCTCAGAATCGAAGACACCTACAATCAGCTGATGGAAGAAAGAATACATTCAAACGAATAGAACGGCGCGCTCGAAAAAACAAGTTGAAATGCGAAATGTATCTTATGGCAAAAAAATATCAAAAAAGCCTATGCAAAACCTTAAAAAAATTTGCGTCGTACAAAATTTGTCTTTTTTTTGCGTAATTTCAACTAAAGTGGAAAGGTGAAACTATGGAAAACAGCCACAATGCTTAATCACAAAAATGTAAAGTCTCTAATTTATTAGCAAACTTAGCAATCTTTAGCTTAAAAGAATTTTAAAAAAATTTAGCTACGGATATTTGTATTAAAAAATCACCATAGTCCTCCACTTTTAGGGCAAAATAGGAGATATAAATGCAGCGCACTAATTGCCAAATATTCCACCTCTCAGTGTATATTTTGCCTAGGTTTTTTTGTTACCTCTAAGGAATTCTCGAGATCGGTATAGGTCTTTTTGCATCTTCAAAACCAGCTAAGCGTTGGGTGCATTTTATTCTAAGCATTTTATGGCGAAATCAAACTAGGCTTGCCCTGGTAAGCCCAGCAAAACAAAGCTACTGTAATACAGTAGTGATTTATCCCCCGGTTCTGGTGAGGCGCCACTTTTGTACTTAGAATTAGCCCCCTTGTACCTCGCTGGGTGGGCCGGCCTTTTGGGCCATGACAATAGCCCAGACACCTTCTCCGTGCTAGATATATATATATTCTACACAAGTATTGTGTCTTTTTTCGTCTTCAGGGAGCCTTGGGACGCTACACTACTTCATTTAAAAGTTAGAGTGCCGGTCCTTTAGGTGCAGTACTTCACTTTTTATGTAATTTCGCGGGTCCTAACTGTATTTATTGCGTACCCACCCTACGACGTGACCTTTGAGCCATGTCGGTAGTTTCTCGGATAGTTAGCATATTTGGCGCTTTTTTTAATACAACCATATCCTTATTCGAGTCCGAAATAGGCGCATGTTACTGCAGTGCCACTATTATCTCTGGCAAAATCGCAGAATGCATGAGTAACTCGTGCTCAGACATCAATAGTCTAGTCGCTTTTTTTAGACCCACACAAATTATAGGTTCTTCAAATTTATTAAGGAAATAATTGACAATACATTTATGCCTACATGATATTGGTATTCGATTTTTTTGTCGGAATCGTGCAGTGCTTTTAAGTATACTTTCCAGAAGTCGTTACCCCTTTTTAAGCGCACGAATTTCTCTATTGAAAAATATCACATATTTTGAATATATCAAATGGTCTTTTGTTAATTGCAAATAGCCTTGAGGTTCTTTGCCGGGTAATACATCTCTTCCAGCTCTTGAACAGAATATCGTGAGGTACGCAATATTGACTGCGTCTTTTTGCTATCTGTGAATACCCATAAAAACCTTAGCAGAAACATACTGTCAGTAGCCACTATTTTTTGCACAGCGTAATTTTAAAAGAGGTATCACTTTATCCAATTTTGTAAATCCGAATTTTTCAACGTGAGTGCATTGCGAGTATTTTGCAATGCAGTTTCAAATCAAAATGAATTTGGCCATTTACTTTTGTTTTTTTCGCTTTTTAGCTGCGTTAAAATACGAATTCTATCTTGATTGTTTATTAGTTCCTTCAAAGGCGTTCTTCTCTAATTTACATCTCATTACTTGTATAAGCATCCGCTAAGCACATCAATTTGTGTAGTCACCTGTTGTAAATCACGTCAAGCTTGGTTTTGAATTGGCGAATTGCAGCAAACTTCTTCATTTTTCCAATAATAATATCTTCTGATGATCAGCTAGTGGAAAAACAATCCTTTTTAATTGTATTAAAAAAATTTACTAGTAAAAGGGAGGAATTTTACCCTTGGTTATAAAGTTATTTATACACAAACTTGTTGTCAAGGCTTAGCGCAAGATTCAAGTTTATTATTAAATAGATTAATTCTGTCCCTGCTATTTCGCATAGAGGACTATTTCACCAAAAACTTCACTGGTTATCCTGATTAAAAGCCCTGATTTAGCATTTTTTAGGCACTAGAGTTTTATTTACTTCTTGACGCTTATTGTAGATTATTTTAATGCTAAAATGAAAAGATAACTTGCATGCTTGCGGATTTCTTGCATTTATTCAGCGCCTTTTGCTGCAGTCAACCAAGAGACAGGGTGACGTAATTGAAAAGGGGCTTGTTAAAGTTTGTATCCTTTAGAGCGTAATTTAAGTGGCGATCCTAGGGTAATCTAATCTAATCTATTTGATGTAGTTCTGTAGATAGGTATTCCTACAACTCCAAAACGAATTATGTGTCATGAGCCTAAAGAGCAAATGAACAGCGTTTTTACAGGGATTTGCGAGGATACGGGAAGATGAGTCAAAGTTAACCAGACATTTAAGTGATTTGAGGGCTTAAGACAGAGAGTCGGCTGTTCATGTGACATGTGACTCAGCTCATTAAATGGCATCTCGAATGAACAAAACGACTCATTTCACCTCACTTTGGCTTACTTAGTTGCCCTAACTGGTTAAAATAACATTTTGTACAGATTGCCTGGTTTTCAATACCAGTTAAAAAGCTTGATTTTTGTTTCGGAGCATTGTACACTTATATTTAGACAATCTTGAGGTAAAATGAGGATATTTACGGCGTTTCTGGAAAGTTTGTGTATTTCTTTATCATTTCCTCTAGAAGTGCAGTGTGATCTGGGTCAAACTCATTAAGCTTGATATCCTCTTCTCCCCCTCCCTCTTTTTTTTTCGACGAGTGACTAAACTTCATGTTGTCATGCTCCGAGTCTTCAGGATCCTGTTTAATAACTTCGCCGTTTATACGTATTTTTACATCACTTTACCTCTCTTGAAGAAAGGAGGGCTGGAGTACGTTTGGCGTCCAAATAAGCACTTAGTGACACAATGGGAAAAATTTGACATTCCCTGATTTCCCTTCGTTTGCATCACTATCCCTTTAGTAGAACAGAATATGTTGAAATAGAACTAAGTTGTTTTCCAGCACCCTCTATCCTATCTCTTGCTTCAAATGACTAAAAGTCTTTTGAATAGTTTATCTCTATTTTTTTTTTTGATATGAGACAATAATCCGACCTGGAGACAGACAAACGCTCTAAGGCGTTATTCAAAAACCCCTTCTTTTGATGTCAGTTGGGAGGGTGACATCTTTGAAGTAAAAATCGTGAGTTTTGGAAATAAAATTTGATTTCTGACTACTTTTTGACAAGTCATCTCTTTGTGGTCTCTCTGCTTGTCATCCTGTTCCTAGCGGGTGTAATGCTTAGTCGAGTCGCCTACGCTAACCCGAAGGCACATGAACGCGCAATTCCGAGGTACCACTCGATGCAAATTAAGTCTACCAACACAATTTTACCAGGAATGAAGATTATGACCCGTTTGTTTGCTGCATAAAACAGTATGACTGTCTCAACAATGAGTTGATGCCATTCAATAGGGCCATAAAAGTGACAATTGGATGCGGAGGTAGGGCCGTATCTTTGCCTCAAAAGCCCTGGAGCCAACTCCTCTCCTTTGAATGTGAAAATTCAACCACCTAGAAAATGACTAAAGTGTTTAAAGTGGTATGATTTTGGTTTGGTTTCAACCTGAGAATCCCACTGATTTCAGCCTTAGTTCAAGTAGTTGGCTACATTCCAGGATTTGTCACCAGATGAACCTCCATCTCAACCATTGTTTCCATCTATTCAACAATGAACGTAGCGTAAAGTATTCCCATTGATAATACTTTTTTGAAAACTTGACCTCTGTTAAAATGTCTTGGAGCTCACAAAATCGGTGTGGAGGACTGTAATACTTCGACAAATGGAAACGAAGCCCTTCAAAGGCCATACTGGCTAAAATCCCTATACCAGGAAGATGTCGTTAAACTTTCTTATCCCGGATTTTGATACTTTGACACTTAAGTGAATGGACTCTGACACGAAATTACAATCACTAATGTCAAAGTAGCGGTATTTTGTTGCGAAATTGGTTTACGAACTTTCAAGTGGCTTACGGGTTCATTTTGACTTCAAATGTCGTATATGTGGAGGAGGATTTCCACATGTGTCTATCTTCACTTAGACGGCAAGACGAATGTGATTTCGCTCTTCGCTTCTTCGGTCAATGAGCTGCATACTAATGACTTTTCCATATCACGAATTTTTCGTGGAGTGCGGTGATCAATCAAGTGGAGTAACATAGGGTTCCCTCAGATCAAAATTTCTGCCTCCTTGAGTTTGCGCGTCTTTTTTTTAATCCAACCCCCTTCTCTTTATGGGAAAAGTGCTGTATCGTTATGTGAGCGTGCTTTGTGTACGAGTAGAGATGGGAAAGTCGAATACAAAAAAAGAGGCTTCTTTTTTCACCTCCTTTTGCAAATCCTTGTGAATTCTACTGCCGTCATCCACTTTTTAAAATGCGAGTCTCCTCGTCAACTGCACATGTGTTGCCAAATAGGCGTGCCACTCCGAAAACAAATAATCTGAAGTTTTTGATAATGCCATTTTGACAGCCACCCACGCCTTTTAAGACAGAAAGCAGGCGCTCTTTTCCAAGGCGCCACAAACCAATTAACGCTCCTCAAGGTCACTCTGATGACCAATCATCACGCGCGAGTGTATTCATCCTGTTACTTCAGTGGTCAACGAGCACACACAGATGTGTATGCTTCTGACGCATTACAATGTTTGCTGCGGCCAAATGCAAAATTTAATCAATTCGTCTTTTTTTTTCTTGCGAAATAACTACTTGTATATTTTTTTCCAATGTTGATGGTCGTTTTTTGCAACTTCACGGAAGCCTAGAAGTCAAGACATTCTCTAGGGTCGCCTGGAGGGAGATAATTGCATTTTCAACTTGAGCGATTTCCGACTTTTTTCTGGTATGAGGAGGCATGATATTCCTACTTCGTCAAATCAAATCATTTGTTTGCTTCTTTTGTCGAGCCTTTCGTGACACTGCTGGATCGTATAACATAGGATCATGCCCTCTTTCTGTCCCCTTAAGGCCCCACCCTCGCCACCTTTGAAGGTCGTCTGTCTCAATGCAGTTTAACAATCTTGGGGCTTTGTAATTTTGTTGGTTCCTGTGTGGAGTCAGTGAGAGTGTGAATTGTCGATAAAACTAGGTCTAACTGCTGCTCAAATGGCACTGATTTAGCGGAACCCACGTTTTTTGGAGGGAACAAGAGACGACTTTTCTCAATTGCTCATCCAATTTCCTTCCGAGGGAAGAGTAAAAAATAGCGCATACCTTTCTACTCATTGACTCGTTGTTTAGGGCGAATGCGTCTACCGTCTCCCTCCTTTCCGCTTCATCCACCACCTCGGTCTCCTCGTCTCGGTTGTCTTCCTGCGTGGAACGTGACGCATTTCTGGGGTTAAAGTTACCTGTCAGAGAGAAATTTCTCCCTCATCCCAACCTAGGAGTCACTATTAAATGTTGTGAGTTGTCGTGTCATAATGCCGTGCCCTCGAATAACCTCCAATTTCAAAATCCTCGCTGGAGGTCTGTCTTATTTCCCACCCACTTAGAACGAATTACTTACAAATCGGTATGAAAGTTAGAAACGGAAGCCGCGACTTTTACATTGCAAGCGATTGTTAAGACCCGCCTTGTGTACAAGTAGCGTTTGTATCCCTCCTGAAGACGTAAGGACAGATTGGTGGACTGTTGACAAGGCATGACATGTACATAACATAACATGCGAACAAGGTGGTGGCCGTAATCACAAAACGCAGACAAATAAAAGCGATTTAACTAAAAAATCCCTTTGTTACATTATGTCCTGTCGTAATTTAGCATTCAGAGCCTCCGCATCGTTTATTGCCCTTCAGGAGTAAAGCCCTTTTGAATTTTAAATGTACCCACCGTCCAGATCGTTAATGTGGATCAGTGTAACGCCTCTTATTTCCAGTGATGA